CTCTCCCGAAACGTGGTACTAACCCTTACGCATGCCTGGGGGGCACTAAAGCGGGAACGAAAGAGCTAGAAGGCTGAAATTTTGCGTTTATGTCCCTCATCCACATAGAGCTCAAAGATTTTAAATTTAGCTCCCACGTATGCGTGATTCTCACTTATTGGCTCCGCGAACTTCCCCGGTCGGAAAATCGCTAACTTAGAATCGGGAAAGCTGGAGGCTGAAATTTAAGGGAATGTTCCTAATCCATGTAGAACTTAAATTTATCTAATTCAAGCCCTCTTTGTGCGTAATTCTCACGTACGGCCTTATTGAATTTTTTGGTGGAAAAATGGCTAACTCGGGAACCAGGAAAGCTGGAAAGCTGAAATTTTAAGAGTAAGTTTCCAGTCCCCTCACCCTCCCGTAAAAGTTAAAGATATCAAATTCAGCTACCAGATACGTATGACTCTTGTATACGGATCCATGAAATTTTAACGGGATGTTCCCTGTCCAAGCACCGCGTAGACAATTAACTTCACGAAATTCAAGGACTAGTATGCCGAAATTTTAGCTACTGGTTTTCTGAGTGATCTCATTATAGCACGAAATATTGCAAAAACGCATGATCGCACGGGCTCGCCTGGTGCACATCGCCAATGATTTTTCATTGCAATCTTCCAATTTTTTACCAGTTGAGCATTCAGGGCTAACCTGGTTGCCACAAGCTAATTATGCGTTTTTGCTTATATGCAAATGCAAAAACGCATATTGTGACAACCCCGGTGTGTGTGCGTCTGTCCGGATATTTCAACTCGGCACCCAAGCAAGCTCCGGTAACAAGATTTTGCTAGTGGGTTCCCCGGCCAAGTGCCACCCCACGGCCGTGGTACCAACCTTCATGCAAGCCTGGGCTTCGCGCACGTGGGGTGAAAGTTTTGGCGGGAAAATCGCTAACTCAGGAACCAGAAAAGCGAGAAAGCTAGAATTTTTAGGTTATGTCCTCCGCATCCATAGAAGTCAAAGATTTCAAATTCAGTCCCCAGGCATGCGTGGTTTCCGCACATGGCCACGTGAGGGTTCCTAGCACGAAAATTACTAATTAGGAAACCAGGAAAGCTGGGAAGTTGAAATCTTCAGGGAGTGTTCCTGACATATATGCAACTTAAAATTGCCCATTTTCATGGGGCCGTATGTGGTGCTCACGCACGCCCTCATGAAAATTTTCGGCGTGAAAATGGCTAACACAGGAACCGAGAAAGCTGGGAGGCTGAAATTTTCAGGGGATGTTTCTAACCCATGTATGGCTTAAATTTATCAAACTCAGCCCCCCGAGGACATGGTTGCCGCGTACGGCCTCGTGAATATTTTTGGCAGAAAAATTGCTAACTCAAGAAAATTTGGAAAGCTGAAATTTCAACGAAATGTTCCTTGTCCAAATACCGAGCAGGCAATTAACTTCTCAGACTTCAAGGGCCAGTATATCACACATTTCTTGCTACTGGGTTTCCGAGCGATCTTATTACAGCACGAAATATTGCAAAAACGCACGATCGCACGGGCCCACCCGGTGCGTGTCGCAAATGATTTATATTCCTAACGATCTTTTCCTTCAAGTTTAGTGCAAAAACACCTGGTGCGTTTCATTCTGGAGTTTCATCTCAGTAATACATTACAAAAGCTAAAGATGCTTCTGGGCACTGGAACTCTACTTGGACTGTCTGAGCGACCTTTCTGATTTGCACCAGAGACACCAGGAACTTCACGCACGTGCCCATGCGATTTTGAGAATTTTCTCTTCAGCAATATCGAGAGAGTTCTACACTGCTAACCTCCAACCCTCCACATTGGGTTTTGAATGATCTTTGAGCTGTTATGCTCATTTTTCCATTATTTCGGTTCAGTATTGTTTCACTGGCTGGGAAAGGTTGCTATCTTTTCATACACATATATTTTTGCGAGTCATCGTCATCATCATTCTCCCTCATCCCTGAAAAATATTTTAATAATTTTTCGTATAAACATTGTGCTTGCCTATAATACCAAGATAATGAGACCGACCAACAGTCGATGTGGTAATCTCATGCTAGCGTTGTCATTAGAATGCTCCCATACGCCGCGCCTAGTAGTTAGATATGTGTCGGGTCTATTGCTCCTATAGTGGAATATCTGATCCAAGGAAACGTTCAGGATGACACGTGCTTCGATTCATCGTAACTTCATCCCAAATATCTTTACTCCAAAACACTTGATAATAATTCATTGATGGTTGCTGAGGCGGAAGATGTACTGTCTGATGATCCTGACGTTCGGCTTTCTGCGCCCCTAT